CATACCGCTTTCATTTTTCAATTAATATGTAGATGTTGATACGCTCTCTCACAAAAGTTTCCATTTAGTTGGCTATCTTCTTAATTTCGATGTGGAGTCCATTTGATGCCCTCTTCAATTTCAATTTAGGAACCTGAAGTACAACGCCATTTTGTCTTGATCCACGCCCCTTGGGAACTATTAGCCAGCCGCGCCGAAGATATGAAATTGAAGGTACCTCTCCAGCCCAGTGATGTGGAGTTTACCTCATGGCCTCAATCTTTCTGTGGACGTGATCGATTAGAGAAAATGGCCAGCTGGAATCCCTTGATCATTCATGATGCCACGGTTAGAGAAAAAGCTGATAATTTTATGGGTCGTTTCGATAAAGAGCATCTGACAACGTACATGAATCATGAAGACAAGGAAATGTTCTTTCCCACCGTGGATAGAATGCACATTGTCTATCAGATACTGCAGAACACCCGATTTGCACAAGATCCACACTGCCTTGGACTGAAGAGGCTTGTCTTGGATGGAGCCTACATCGCACACTATCCATTGCACGAAGGTACAGAAAAACTAGGCGATGGGGATTTTCCAGTCAATGATCGGCAACGCTTGAAGAGAGATTGGGCTCGACTGGGCCGATGTTTCAAGTACCAACCCTACGATGCCATTAAGGATTACTTTGGTCACGAAATTGGCCTGTACTTCGCCTGGCTTGGATTTTACTCCGCGATGCTGATTCCACTCGCAATCGTTGCTTTGATCGTGTTCTTGTACGGCATAATAACAACAGGCTCCCACGCCCCTGTACAAGACATATGTGATGAAAGGAACGACGGTGTTTGGTACATGTGTCCATTGTGCGATCGGCAGTGCAGTTACTGGAATTTGGCTCCAACGACCTGTCTTTACGCTTACGTCACGAATGTCTTTGATAACGATGCTACAGTTATTTTGGCGCTTGCTGCATCCATTTGGGCCACGCTCTTTCTTGAGTTTTGGAAACGTCGGGAGGCTTCTTTGGCATCCGAATGGCACACCTCGGACTTTGAAGAAGAAGAGGAACCACTTCGTCCAGAGTATGTTAAGAGCCTGACAGAAGAAGAAAGGAATCCTTTCAAGCCAGATCCAGGGACTGGGAAGATTGTGTATAGAGCCTCTAAGATGAAGCAGTATCGTCGCTATGCCACAGTTTTCAGCGTGGTTGCTTTCATGATATGTTTGGTGATAGCTGCAATCATCGGTGTGGTGGTGTTCCGAGCAGCAACCTTCGCCATTCTCAGTAGCAACCCAGACCGTGTTATCCAGAAGCGTGCTCGTATACTGACAACTGGCTTTGCTGCCTGCATCAATCTTGTGGCCATCACGGCACTGAAGTACGCATACAACAAGCTGGCCGTTTGGTTAACCAACTGGGAGAATCCTGCAACTCGTAGTGCTTATGAAGACAGTTTCACGTGGAAGATGGCCTTGTTTCAGTTTGTCAACACCTTTGCCTCAATTATCTACATCGCATTCTTCAAGTCACAGTCAATTGTGGGATCTCCGGGAAGATACAGACGAATTTTAGGCAAGTACCGACAAGACGGATGTAGTGAACAAGGTTGCTTCTTGGAGCTCTGCATCCAGATCGCGATCATTATGGTTGGACAACAGATTATTGGCAACGTTATTGAAGTTGGCATACCGTAAGTGGGCAAACTTGTCTAGCTAATTTGTCAAATTAACATATCTATAAAAAACTAACGTTTTTCAATCATTACTTTATCATCTAGATCGTTTCAGTTGTGGTTGAAACGGAGGAAGGCAGGAGATTCTGGTGACCGTCCGCAATACGTTAAGGACCATGAACTGAGCGAATTGGAGGATCACTACCTGTTCTGGGACTACCTGGAAATAGGTACTCTAAATCTATTTAGCATCTTTACAAAATAACTTTATTATGTATTTTAGCCTTCTACAAAACAATAACTTTTTTTATCATGTCTTTTAGTCCTCCAGTACGGCTTTGTGACTATGTTTGTGGCAGCCTTTCCACTCGCACCAATCTTCGCTCTTATTAACGCGGTTTTGGAAATCCGAGTGGATGCCATCAACTTCGTGTGTTATCACCGACGGCCCAGAGCCGTTCGAGTTGAAGACATAGGGGCGTGGCACGGTGTTCTCGCGGCAGTGACCAAGATTGCGGTGCTAATGAACGCTTTCATTTTGGCATTCACCTCGGAATTCATCCCTAAGCTCGTATACAAGTATATGTTTGCACCGGACCGAAACTCTCCTGGAGGAGGAACTTTAAAGGGATACATCAACAACAGTCTCGCTTATATTGATCTCAAAACACTTTACGCGTGGGAGCCTGGAACAGAACCTATGGACCCTACTGCGAACGTGAACTACACAAGAGAGTACTGCAGGTAATTTGTGAGTCAAATGCAAACGCGAGAATCTGTCATGACACTTACATAAAAGTATTACAGAAAGAAAAGGTTTTCATAGAAATGTTGCTATTTCTGAAAACCAAGTAGATGCTACAAATGTCGTTTCTCTTTAGGATACTTTTTTGTCAAGCAAGTCTCAGTACGCACGCAATTATTTATTAAATTCAACTTTAATGTCAAGCAAAATGGAAAAATTTATACAAGACACACTAAGTCAAAAAATTATCGTTTTGTAGTTTGACATCTGTAATTCTTTTATCATAAAGGACAAAACAAGGATGATCAATGTGTCAATCGAGAAAAGAATATTATTAAAATGCAATTGTAAAGGAATGAAGCACCTTTAAAAAGTGATTTCAGTATTCTTCTTTCCTTTTTATCCCTTAGGTATTCTGGCTACTTTGACAGCACATATCCATATAATCGCTCTAAAGAATACTGGAATGTGGTTGCTGCCAGACTCGCTTTTGTGGTGGTCTTCCAATTTCTTGTCTACTCCATAACCAGCTTGATAGCCTGGGCTGTCCCGGATGTCCCTGAGAACCTGAAGTTCAAACAAGAAAGAGAAAGACAAGTGGTGAAAGAGAAGTTAGGAGTTCCTAGTGACGACGATGATAGTGGCGAGGATGGGGAGAATGACGCAGACAAAACGACCGATGACGTAGCCCTTGTTTCTGCCATCTAACTAAAGCAGTTTATAAAAACAACAATTCATATCTAAATTTGTTTTAAAACATAAATTTAGCCCCGTGAGAAAAGTATTTCTACATATATTTAGCTATAGATTTATATGCAATTATCAAACTAGTATTAAGAAGCTATTAACCGTAGACAAAGAATCTCTAGTGTATAAGCTGGATCAGGCTTTGGCAGGACTTTCGCACAAAATGTCCTTTAAGTTATGGACTCGCGCATGAAATTATTAAGGGTGATTAAACTAGGTGGCTTGGTATAAAGTCATGTTTCAAATTAATTAATTTGCGTCCTTGAAAAAGTAAATGATCGTCATGCTCTCGTTGTGGAAGTAACACGTATTGAAAGCCATCGTAATCTAGCATGCTTGGTCTGGATGATATAGATTTGTTCTATTAGAAAAAATCAATATTACATATATCACTTTGTAAAAGGACTCTATAGGATAATTTCGTCGACTATGTCATGTCTTTGTGAAGAATCAGCCTTTGATATCAATACAAGAATTGTATCAAAATGGATGAATGTGAACCATGATTATTCCTTCGTGTGTCAGAATTTCAAGCCGAATCTGCGTAACCAGAGGAAAAAAATCGACGCTGTAAAAGCGTTGGGAGCTCCAGGCTGCGAAAGAGGCAAGGAAAAGAGGGCTTATCGGCAGTCTATAGAAAATGTTAAAAACAAGTCAACTGAATATTTGCCCCCGCAGGGTTTTTGGCCCCAGAGGGCCAAAAACCCGAGGAGGCACCTTAGGACTCCCCGCGTAATATAGAGGAAGACTGGAGAAGAGGGAATGTGGGTATTTTCGGTAGATCATAACCAGAAAAAATCTCGATTTGATCGCTTGCACGGCCGCAAGGTATCAACGTTTTTCCCGCAAATGGTCATAACTACACAACTGTAAACAACAAGCCCAACTCAAAAAAAAAAAAAGAAAATGGTACTGTAGGGCGGGGGCAGCTCTAGTGAGAACTATAACTAGTAATAAACAATAACTTCAACGTTTTAAGTCTGTTGTTAGTGTTTATTCGCATACAATATAGTATTTAGCGATCGTGAGGATATGAGACACCAGACAAAAATCTGGCAGCAAGTCCAATAGTGATATACCCACAGGAGCTTAGCTTAGAGAATAATACTTGGGCACGCGTAGGTATGGAATTTCTCTTAGAGTTTTACAACTCGATGGCTCACAAGTGAGCGCAGGCGACGAGTGAGATGTCGAGTTGAACACGAGAGGAGAAATTCCATATCTACGAGCAACTTTGTATTATTTTGTTCGTTATATAATCTAACGCTCGAAACGTCAGCTTTTTTACTCTTTACGGTGGCTAATTTACGTTTTCAACCCAGTTGTTAACACTAAATTACCTGCTATACTCTCCCACCGACGCAGCACCACAGTTTCTTTAGAAACTTACCCCTTCCAGGAAGAATGGGGAATAAGGACTCCTCGATCCAAACCTCCTCCGTGAAAAAGCAAAATGGCTGCCCGACATCGGTGAACCACGAAGTTCTATTTTGGGGTCTTTAAAATGAGGCGCAGTGTTCGCTTAGCAGCCAGAGCCATCGAAGAAGTTGTATCTCAAAATAATAAAGCTCTGCAAACTTCAGGACAGGCAATCACAATAAACTTGAAGGAAAAAGAGGGAAATTATTCAAGGAAGGAAACGTCGAGTAAGAGTGAGACCCGAAAATCTAAGGCAAGAAAACGGGCTCGAGCAAAAAGTTCCACGGAACAAGACCACAATGAAAAGAAAGGAGGTTACCTGATAAAATCAGTAGCGGCTGAGGAAAAGGTCAAGCCAGAAATTAAACGAGTGAAAACAGAGCCTGGCATACATGCGACCATCAAGTCTGAAGACAAACTCAACTTCCAACCTCTCCATGAAAAGCTGATAGGAGCACATGTCTCTATCAGTGGTGGACTGCATAACGCTGTATCTGAAGCTCTAGCTATTGGTGCTAAGGCATTTGGAATGTTTTTAAGGTCACAGCGTCAGTGGATGAGTAAACCTCTTCAGGACAAAGATGCAGAGCTATTTAAAGAGGCTTGCTCGAAAGCCAACTTCTCGCCGCATTCTATTCTCCCACATGGTATATATTTAATGAACTGTGGCTCTCCAGACGAGGAAACTCTCTCCAAGAGCCGTGCCACTCTGGTGGACGAACTGAAACGCTGTGAAAGGCTAGGTCTATGCCTTTATAATTTCCATCCTGGCTCTACGTGTGGCAAGATTACAGTGGAAGAATCCGTAGGCAGAATAGCAGAAAGTATTAATCAGGCGCACGCAGAAACAAAATATGTTGTTACCGTCTTAGAAAACATGAGCTGCCAAGGAAATACTGTAAGTGCTAATATTGTTTTGTTATTGGTTGTTGGGAGTGAATTTTCTGTTATAAAATAATCCAAAACAAAATAATCATTGTAGCCAATCAGAAAAGAGGAAAATATCACAAAGAACAATTATTATTCAGAGTAAAAATAAGGGGTGGATAGAACAGTAGGGACCAAGCCATGATTGGTTTTAGTTTTGCATTCTATTGCTTGAAACGTTAGTAGATGTTCTCTAAACTATTAATCAGCAAAACAATGCCAAATTACCTTCAATACTCATTTGAAAATTGCTTTAAGACTGAAGCACATGTCCTGGGGCTTTTTCATACAAGAATGGTACAGTCTTGAATCTCAGGCTCCGAAAGTGCCAAGTTTTTTATTGGTATTTTTCTTTAAGCTCCTAATAAGAACATTTCAACAAATCTTAAGCATTCTTATTTCTCAATTGATATGTATAGCAACAGGTACCTCATTGCCAAGAGGTTAATCTAGAAAGAGACTTAATGTCTTATGCCAAAGTCACTGCAATACTCATGCATAATAGTGAGCCAGGGTAGGAAAAAACTTAGGTGGGATTGCCCAGGGCAGGTAAATTTTGATTTTGGGCATGTGAAAATGGAAGTTTGGAGGAGGTGAAATTAGCCTCCAAATAATTTCCAATCAAAAGCAATTTCAAAACTTAAGACTACATGATGGGATTAAAAAGAATTTCACAAGAAACTATGTCAAAACCACAAAGAAACAACTTACAGTAAAAACATCGACAAGAAATCACTGCATTTTAAGTACTTATAGAATACAGAAAAAAGCAATCCATCCCTCTGTACCTTAACTTTTTCTTTGCAAAGCAAAAAATATAGTCTATCACTCATTAGAGACAGTACCTGGTAAATTATGTAACTGATAAGGCATGAGCAATGCATGCATAAATTTGAGCAAGTAATATTTGAGTGGGGGCAACTGAAAATGTACTGGCCCACTGGGCAACAAGATTTTAAGATGTTTTTCCTGCCTTGTGAACTGAATGTCAGATACATGATGCAAACCAGATCTAGTAAATGGACTTTTACATCCCAACTGAAAACACTCCTCATATATTGTAACAGTATGTAAAATCTACATGTATTTGACTACAAATATTATTTATCATAGCAATCCTGCTCTTTTGCTTTAATTGCATAATACATGTATACTTTGAGTAACTTTTTTATACAATTTGTCAGACTATGGATGTGCAAATATTAACATGTTAACTGTAGGTTAGAATAGACATTAGGTATTCTTTCAATATTTTGACCCTTTCACTTCTAAGATTTCAATAACTGTTAGAATTATTTTGCTGAAAAGTTTGTCACCCATTTCTTAAAATTTCAGATCTGAAAATTTGGTGTTGATCAAACAATGTTCTCTCCTTGTTATTTCTTTTCTTTCCATCTCTGGATATGGTATTAACCTTATAACCCCTAAAAGTGACTAGCATCTAATTTCTCCTTACAATATCACCCGTAAATCATGCAGTACGGTCATGAGAATAAGGAAGATTACCATCAGCTAAAAAAGTTATTGATTGTTACACAAATTCTTCTTGTCAGCACCTTAGGGAATGCTTGGAGAACAGTACGGAGAATATCTTTACCAATGTCAAGGTGTTAATGGTCAATATTGTAATGATATATTCCCCTGTTGTCACTCCTGTGAGGGCAAAGGTTAACTGAATGTCTTTGTGTTTTTTTTTTGGTTTGTTTGTTTTTTTTTGTGTTTACTTTGTCTATGCTATTGGCCTTAATTCTACACTTATTTCAACAGATTGGTGGTAAATTTGAAGAGCTGCGAGGTATCATTGACCAGGTCCAGGACAAGTCTCGTGTAGGGGTGTGTCTGGACACATGTCATGCCTTTGCTGCTGGGTATGACATTGCATCAGAGAGAGGCTTTGAAATAATGATGGATGAATTTGAGACAATCGTTGGTCTCAAATACCTGCGAGGTGTTCATCTAAATGACTCCAAGGGAGATCTGGGATGCCACTTAGATAGGCATGAAAATATTGGCAAAGGGAAGATTGGGGTTGAGGCATTTAGGCGTGTGATGAGAGACCCTCGTTTTAATGGTATCCCAATGATTTTGGAAACACCATATGTTTCTGAAAATATTTATCAAAAGGAGATAAAGCAGCTGTATGCTATGAGTACATAAAAGAAAGATTCAATCAATATGTAGCTCTTATTTTGTTGTGTTTCAGTATCCTCCTGCCAGTCCTTACGTAGAAAGGTTTTTTTAGTTTCTGTTTGTTCGTTTTTGAGTTATCGAAGCACAGTCTTAATGTTATATTGATATTCATTAGAATTTTATGTTTGTTTGCTAGTTTACTTTTTGTCATATCTTTACTTTTTGTCATATCTTGAATTAAACCTTTAGGATTTTACAAGGAATATTTCTTGAGATAATTCTTTCTGCATTGCTCTTATAGACAAGGAAATATCCACTTTGAATTTCACAGTGTCATTTAAATTACGTGATATGATCTTTGTAAGGTCTTTCTTGATCGATATTTCTCTTTGGAGTATGAGGCTGCTTTCCAACCATAAACAGAGAACCCTTAGCTGCTCCACTCTTAGTATTTCATATATTAGTTAGAGTAATTTTCGATCAAGCGCCGAAAGTCTTCAGCAGAAGCACTTCACTACGCGTAATGATGGTCCAAAAAAACTTGTTTCATCCTCTGTGTGTAAACTGAAACCAAGGTCACGTTTTCCCGTGCTTAAGGCTGACTGCTTCCTTGAATTGAACACCTTTGTTTTGATTGGCCGTTGTGATTTAGAAAGCAGTTGTAATTCAGTACCCTTACCCAAATATAGCATAATTTAACAAAAATTTGGTAATTATCTGTCGTTTTATTCTGTTAATTTAACAAAATGTACAATTAGTTTACCTTCAGGTTCGTGGCAAAAAGGTGAAAAAAAAAAAACTTGGAATATTGAAAGTGAGTCGAAACAATAGAATTTCATATTCTTTTCAAAGGAAATCTGTGATTTTACTCTTCTCCACACGATCATGGAACATTTTGCATGTTGTTATACATGCAATTTCAATTTTATTGTCTGCGTCAATTTGATTAAATCAAAACGTTCTCAAGGATTTCACCAACCACAAATATCTTTCTTTTCTTAAGCTACCTGCAATACACGAAACCACTCAAGATTTGGCAAAGGTTCTGAGGCCTATCTCTACATTACTATTAGTTATCTTAAATGCTCATCATTTAAGATCTTCTGACTATATGGTATATACATTGATCTGTTGTAAAAGAAACGCGATGCTTTGAAGGAGGACACTCAGTTGCCCTTGTAGATTAAAAAAATAAACTTAGTTTACGTTATCGAAACTCTCGGGAGGTTCCCCTTAACAATTCTGTGGTTTTTCACTTTTCATCAAAACGGTTTTAGCACGCTATATTTTAGTTTCTTGGGAGCAGTTTTAAGCTAAAGGTTTGTGAGTATCGAGTCATATTTGTCTAGACACGAAACACCGTAATTGCTAACCAGATAAAAGTTTATCAGGGCATATCACTTCTTTTTTGCTCTTATAATTGGAGAAATTTTGGTTTCTATTTTTTCTTGAACATAAAGAAAACCATATGACGATTTATGCTGACGCACTTGAAAGCAAACTTGAAAGCAAACTATTTCAGTTTCAGCACGTCTCGAAAATTTTCCATTTACTGTCTGTACCTGCACTTTGTGAACAACTGATAGACTGGTCTCCATCTAAACAGTATGTCCGTTACAGAAGTTGTTCTCGGGGTAATTTTCTCCATCCTTGTGGTCGTAAACCTGGTTGGAAACACTTTGGTTTGCCTTGTTGTGTTCCAGAACAAATCCTTGAGAGTGCCAATGAACTACCTTTTGGTAAATCTTGCTATTGCTGACATGTCTTTTGCCGTTTTTGTATCCCCACAGTATATTGTCCGTCCATTTTTTCATCATCCTGAGCCTCCGGTCGGTGACTTTCTTTGCAAGGTAGCTACTGGTGGGAGCTTGAGTTGGGTGGGAACAGCGGCTTCCGTCTTCACTTTGGTGCTAATTGCCTCCGACCGCTACTACTCAGTTTTGTTTCCATACGGAAAAAAAGGTCGTATGACGCCTCTGAGAGTAAAACTTGGAATTGTAACCAGTTGGCTGATTGCTGTGATATCTGAGATCCCTGCGATACTAGTGATGAAGTACGACACAGACCGAAAAATCTGTCTTGAAGATTGGCCCAATATTGGCTTTGCCAGAGCATACACCTTAGCGACTCTGTTCTTCGACTTCATACTGCCGTTTACTTTCATGGCTTCCGTGTACAGCAAAGTGATTTATCGCTTGTGGCGTGGCAGTAACCACGCTGGAACTCATTTAGCATTGCTTAAACGAAGGAAAAAAGTCACGAAGCTCTTACTAATTATCACAGCTTTACACGGAGTGTGTTTGTTTCCTGACACTGTCACTTATGTCCTCTCGTACTTTGGCTTCCAATATGGCTCCATCGCTTACAAGGTCGGCACTGTTTTGGTTTGCGTGAACTCTACAGTGAACCCATTTTTGTACAGTCTTCAGAGTGAACGCTTCAGAAGGTCCTTGAGGCAGCTACTGCAATGTTGCGAAAAATGTCTTGTCGTAAGATGCTGGGAGAGAAGGGATGTAATTGTTGTAAATGATATTCAAATGCGAGGGTAACACGCTGTCTGACCTGTACTCGTATCTGAGCTAATATGGCTTACTACATGTACATTTTAATTTGTGTTGGTAATCACATGCTTTCGAGTGCAATTTTGGATAAATCAGTTGAAGTAAATTTTTCAATGGGTAACCAAATTGCATGCAAAAATTTGATTCGGTTTTCCTTTTAGTCGTGTTTATTTCGTGTCATGGCTCACTGGTTCGGCCGCTTTTGTGCTGTTGTCGGAGAAGTTGGGGTTTTCCCGCAAGGACTTGCTTCGAGCTTTTCAAACTTTCTTCCACATATAATCGAGCGTTTGCACTCTTTTTCAGATGGGTGTCGCTTAATAGCAGTAACCAGTACACTTAAGCTATCAGATCCTACCACGCCTGTAATCTTTCCCATCCCTCATTCAAACTGTTGCGTACATAGGTAAACTTCTTGGGAATTTTACTCAGGGCTTCCGGTTCGTAAATTTCATTACTTTTATCAGTCATAGCCGTTTTTGGAAGTCTTCGGCCTCCAAACGTTGATAAACTTTTAGCCTCTTGTTTTTGCCGCTTTTGGGGTGTTTTTGTTCTTAGCACTCTCATTCAAACTCTAAATCAAAACTTTGTTTCTCTCTTCTAACCTGTCTGCCATTTTTCCTATCAATCCATTCGATTTCAACTTTCTTCACTGTATGGGATAAATTGACTTGTCCTCAGCCAATGAGTATGCTGAATTGTTTGCATGCATAAAGATAAAAATTTGACTTAGGGGGGGAGGGAGGTTGGGGATGGCATGAGATGTCATTCCGGTAATTTTTCGATATTTCTAGTGCGCTGACAAATCTATAATGAAAGGTACATTGTCAATCAACGATTACAGATGGTTTTTATTTCAATGGCACTTTGCACCTCAACTGTTTATGACCTTTTTTCATCACAATCTGTTGAAATCTATATTTCAAGAAATAAAATAAAGTAACGTAATAACGTAAGAACCTCATGAAGGCAAAGAGAATGGACTCTGTATTATATAAATATCAACTTTGATGGTTCCCAGGGTATATTTGGAGATTAAATTTACCCCCCTCCCCCTCCCCACACACACACACACACACACCCAATCTAAAACGTAAAATACCAACATATCTGTAAGCTCAACTTTTTTGCGAAATAGGAGCCGAATTTTTGAAAGATCGCCAGGCGTGCTTTTCCCTTCCTTAGTTGTCAGGTTCATTTTTAACAGCGGTTCAAATTTACCTCCCATCGTTTCAAACTCATAACCACACATTGCCAAATCCAATTAGGCAGTTAAAAAAGTAAATCTGAAACGGAAACACAACATTATTTTCTCATAAAGTTAAAACTGTGTCCGGTTATTGATGCAGAGCTTATCATTGCTGGTTGACACTTCTGCGGCAAATTTGTCGGTGAAGCAAGAAGGCAAGCTTATTTCTGATACGATCTTGAATTGTATCTAGACACTCGATCGAATACTCCAACTCACTACCGCACGGCAACATCACTTGGCTAGATTAAGACAATGAGTCACGTACAAGCATACCATGGATGCTTAGTTGGCCATCGGGGTTACCACAGAGGCCAACAAGCTTTTAGTCTTATGAAGATTTGATGAGTTATTCTTACACTAACCCGCTCCTCTGGAACCAGTTCCTCCCTACATCTTTAATCACCTTCACTTGGTTATTTACTTTCCATTTATTGTTGTTATTTTTTGTAAGTGACGACGCGAAAGTGATATCACGCTTAGGGTCAAATATATTATGCCAACATCATGATGAAACTTCTTAAAATTCCATTGATATTACAGTTTAAAAAGAGATACATTTTGAAGCCTGAGTACTGCTAACACTGAATCTGCTTTTCTTGCTTACGCTTTAAGAATTTGACCCACTATATTGTTGTGTTATAAACCTCCAAAAGCCTCTTATTTTTGGCGAGTTTTACCTGTCGGTGATAGGATTGGGGGAGAGGGGAGGTTGAGGGGCTCTTGAAAGAAGTTATTTTGAACTACTAAATTGAGCATGATAAAAAAAATTGAGCATAATTTCAAGCATGATGCCATGTTTTCAGGGGTGATTCTCAAAGGCATAATGATCAAATTTCCAAGCATAACTATCAGACCTCTTACAAGTCCACAACTGCGAGCCATTTGTAAGGTTCGTAAAGCGTTAAAACCAAAAAGTTGGAGCAAGCAACCGTAGGTGACTAATAAATTGATGAACGCTTTAATTTAAACCATAAATTCAATAGATAAATTTACTTGTAGTTAAGTTTCTTTCACTGCTGACAAACTATAGGTCTCGATCTCCTTGCCTTTATTTAAACTTAATTTTCTGTACACAAAACAGCGACTAAATTAGTTTTTCACTGACCAAAAGCCGGATGCGCAAACCAAATAATGACAAAAAATCCAACTTCTGTTTTCAATTATTTAGAAGCTACGAACATGTCTGAGAGGCGAAGCAGCTATCAAATACAAGCTTGTCATCTCAAGTAAACAGAATCAGTAAAACGTAAGAGCCGCTACAGCATTACTGCATGAAAATTAATTACCTTCCTCCAACACAAAGGAAAATGCCAAACGACTTAATTCTTCTTTTCGAGAATCGTGATCAATGACGGAAAAAGTAGGATGCAATCTATTTACTTTCCCTCTAATTGCCTTTAAAAACTGACACGAAATAACATGAAACCCACGCATTTTCCTCTGCACGAAGACAAATTTTACTTGTCTTGTCCATCGCTTTTGGTCTGACTGACGTAAGTCATGACAAGTATGAGACTGGGTATCAGTGTTGTCACGTTTATTTGGTTCCAGGTGTTTTTAAGGAACTGTGCGACGAACTGTCTTTTAAATAACCTTGGACTTAGTTTTTTCCATTAACAGCTAATTTAAGTTTTAAGATGTTATTTACGTTATTCCAATGGAAGGAATATCATCGATGGTTAAATGAAATTGCTTTTAATTCCAGTTTTCTCTCTCTACAACACAAAAAGTATTGTACGTGATGTTTACAGAATCCATTTGTCGAAGTGTGGAAATGAGCAGTAGGTGGTGTAATGCGTGAAACGGTGTTTCCTTTTTTTTCCTTCATACATAAAAACAACCACATCACAAAAGGTGCGAAAACACTCCATTTAACAGAATGGTATCGCAACCACAGCGATATGAAATCGAGAGAGTCCTCTTGAAATAATGCCATTTTGCTTCCTATAGTGGATCAGATTATCATACATGTGTGACTAAACCAGTCGTCATTACTTGTCTTCATATGGCCCTTTCCAGCACTAAAATGAAATTCGAGATTAAAAATACACAGACGAGGTTTTCTTTCCCTCTTGAGACATTCTTCAAGATATTAAAAATCTTTATCCTTTTAGTACTTAAACTATAAAATGACGAAAAGTCTTGAATTACCTTAGCATTAACCCATAAATCTCTTTTCCTGAAAAGTCTACGTGCGCGTGAAACTCGACCGCTGATTTTGCTTTTAAACCCTCAATTACTGCGTCCTAAAGTTCTGTTGAATCTTTGACTTAAACATTTTGTGAAGATTTAGTTCTACTTCTCGCTAGCTATTGAAGTCGCGTCAACACTTCCCTAAATATAATTTATTTTTAGACAGAATATAATATGTATTTTGAACAGATAATCGAGATAAAAGAACTAAGTAATTTCTTGCCGACAGACCTCGACCTAAAAGAACCTTACTCTGGTTAATATATCACTTCGTCATTTCGAGAAATTTCCCGAAACGAAATTTTATCTCGTGGATTAATTTTGTCTAGGTTTTTTTCCATATGGCGCTAAAATATGTCGGTTTGACAATTTGAGGTTCGTGAATTAAAATACAAATTATTACTTTTATTTGTTTCACCAATATCCCTGTAGGATTTTATGGAGACTAAGTATTTAATGTATTTGCTACAGCAGTTCCGAAAGAAGAAAATTAAAATAGCCTTGAAAACAGTTGCATGGACGGGCTAAAATTATGGGGTCGTCTATTTGCATTTTATCATGTTCGGTTTTTTCGATGGGCAAAATTTGCCGGCGCCATATGCTTCATAGCCGTGCGAAATATTCCACAAAATCCGATTACTCGTTTGCGCAATTGTTAGCCTTCAGGCCATGAGAGTGAATTTTTTTTAAGGATTTCAAACTTGCCTTAAAAATATCTTTTAGCATTTTGCGGGTTCGTATCTTTTAAGTGCACCTGTAGGTTTCTTCTTATATGCAATTACGTGGTCCTATATGGTACCCCGCTGTCTGCAGGGTTTTCTAAATTAACCAGAATTCTAAATACAATTTCAGTTTATCGCAAAGTTCAACCAGCCGTGGGCGAACATTAACATACGATATTTTTGTACAAATAGCATACACATAGAAAAAAAATTTTTGCATTTATCCGTATCATAATACGTTTTCACCTTTAATAATGTATTTTGCCACGCTCCGTTTGAAAAGAAACACATTATTCAACAATTATGAAGATTTAGTCCATTTCACCTACCGGGATACTTGAAACGTGCGCGTAAGAAAGACGGGAAGTCTTGAAAACAAACAAAACCAAAATATCTGCTCATTTAAATATATAGCCCACTCAGTGAAGAATTTCCGGTGACAAGTATGTAGATTTAGATATAATGCAAGCGGTTACCGCGACAGGAAAAAAAATTTAGACACGCCGCTGTTGTCGTGAGGTGAGTTCGAAATTTTGGAGTTTTGCGTGGGGTAGGCAGGCATTAAGTAGAAGTTTCTCCATTTTGGCAGAGTAACTCGATCGGAAATAGCCATCAAGGGCCACAGCACGTATGCTGCGAGTGTCGTGACATACAAAGTCTACCTATTAGGATACTTTACCCCCACAGCCTTCTCTCATTTGAGCTTCAGTTAGCGAACGAGTCACGACGATAATGTGTGAAAGCAGTTGATATACGCGTGGAAAAATTCCTTTCAGGTAAAAAAACATAGTTTCCAATTTACAGACTTAATTACTCTTCAGATCAGGAGCGTTTGAACAATATTTTTCAGTTTGTACACTAGGTATCCATGTTGCCGGTAGCCGGCTTAGCATGAAAAAAAATCTGCTTTTGTTTCACCATGGTCGTTATCACACTTTTTTCTTGAGGGTAAACGACCTGTAGCTAGATAAATTAAACAAGAAAAGACGCCGTTCATTTGCGAACAGATCACCTGATGAATAGTAAACATGAAAGGCGCAACGCACGTTTTGGAGCTTTTGCTTTTTTTTAAATCACGTTTCAGATAACTCAACGACTTATACCGTTTAGGACCACGAGCAAATATTTCAAAGAACATAACTTACAAAAAATTCAGTATTTTGTCATCTTGCAGCGTTCAGAAAAAGCCAATCGGCACGTCAGTTACAACTTTAATTAAGCGTTGATGTCTCAATTCCAAGCTGCCGATGTACTGAAACATTTGTGATGGTTACATAGAAGTTTACTGAGTTAATGCAACCTATCGTTCGTTTCAAGAAGTTTGAAGTCTTTTAAACGTATTCCTTTTAGGTTCCATTGATGATATAAACCTCGATCGACTTCCGCACTTTTTAGACTCAAAACATATAAGAAAAACATCAACACAATATGCAAAGTTTGCGGTTGTTATGAAATGCAAATACACTCCGCTATTGTTCACCGAATGCCATATTTACGGCATTGCCGATACAATTGTGTCTATATTGTCTTCACCGCCAACTTTGACTAAACAAGTTATAATTTCCAATTACATTTGCCCTTTTGTTTATACTTCTGCTTTGCATTGTTAGCACTCCAATGACTTTTTTCCAACTGATGCTGAGCTACACAAGAAAACATAGTGCAGAGAAGTCGTTTGCGCATTTCATTTCGTCCTCTAAATCAATGAGATATTTTCACACATTTGTCATTTTGAGGAAGCTACCTAGACAATTACTGAGGTATATTGCAATTTCTTTGCGTGATCTGACACCTTATCCGGTAATCCATGAATAAATTGACTGATTGATTGACTCATTGACGAAACGATAACACTCCAATGGACCCTGAAGAAAATAGTCAGAACTAAACTCTATTTAGTACCTATGTTATCTTTTCTAAAGATAAGCTAAACAATTCGCTAGATCGAACACAGTGATCTTGGTTAGAAATATGATGAGCCAGGTAAGTATGTGGTCAGATAAGCTCAAAAGTACATTTGTCGTGAAGAGTTTTGTTTTTTAAGTTTATTTTCGTTGTCACGACATTCAATGTTTACTTTGGCTGCGGTATCACTTTGAGTTATGTCCAATCACGCGATTTAAGGATCACTGAGTAATAAGTAGATTCGACCCTTCCTCAGGTGATGCCATCGAAAGAGGTCTATAAAATTGCTAACCTTTGCTTAGAAGATTAAGAAAAGCCACGATTAATGCATTTATCTCTAGACAAACCCCAGGAGCGTTTTTTTTTTAAACTGTCAAATTTGGTCCTATGCCATGCATTTCTTTGAACCGAAACTGGTTTCTTCTCACGGCCCGTTTCGGTCAGAGGCCTATAACCAATATAACGGAGCATGGTATGGGCATGGGCATATACAGACAAAGAACACAGAGGTGGGCTTTGAAATTCCTTTAACGTGAAACGCATTTCAACTGTCTGGAATTAAGACAAACTACACAACATTTACGAGTTAAGCACCGTATCTACTTGCTGGTTTATCAAACCAAAAGTTCTGCTAGACTCATGCGACAGCAGTATGTAGCTGCGCAATGAATTTAGGGCGACTATTATTACTGAAAAGTTACATAATATTTTCTCTTGATATTTTGGAAAATTCTCAACCAAACGCCGGAGAGCAGAAAGGAAGATAAACGGAAGTTATTTCTTAGGATATTTTGACTTTCATGTTTCTCGAGAAGGGAAAATGAATTATCTTTAGTTAGCTTTTTCTTACATTGTCATAAGTTTTCCCGACTTTTCATGCAGTGAACTACAAAAGATTGAAAGACACAAAGCAAACAGTTTTGTTTAAGAATACAATTGGTGTCAATTATTGACGTTGTGTCGCTGAAAAAACCCCTAAAAATAGGACTTGTTGATCAAAATGTGTGTAATCAAACATTTTCTGGTAGGACCCGGTTTTTTAGTTTAATTACTTGTGATGCCGACACGTTAAATTGGGCAAAGAGTGATCTGAGGAAACTCAAATGCTACCGTGCGCGAGCTTGGAATTCAATATAAGCAATTCAATTAACGGGATAAAAATTTCAAGTTTTTTGACCTCGCCATATCCTGAGATCACTATCGGATGCACAGGTTCTTGTCTCTCAAAAGTGCACTATTCTTTATTAATATTGTTTCTTTTATTTCAATATCACATCTAATATTCTCTTTCTCTTACTCGAGGCCGTTAGAATACTCCGAATTGAATAAGACTACTACAAAACTTTTGCGTATTGCTCATGCGTGACTTACAGATATTTGTTTTTTAACCCACAGATATGGAAATTTTCTTTTGTGAGATCGATAAAGATAACGTCCTAAACGAAGAGCAACGCTCCAAACACGATACACTGGCAAAGAAAGTGTTAACATTTCGCCGACAGGAATATGTTGTAAAGGCCACAGCCGACTCTCCTTGTTTCCCAAGCATGTCTAGGTCATACGTGGAGCAAGTTAGTAATGTGGCCTGGCCAAAAAACAGATTTTTTCGACAGCGTTCGCATTCATACCCAATGGTGAAGCGTCTAAACCCCTTGCCATGCCTGATAGAGGAAGATGAAAACCTAGAGTTGGAAAAACCAGCGATTATTAACACAAGGGTTCCTGAGGTAAAGAAATTGAACTGGACAGACAACAAGTTATCAGATGAGTGGCTGAACAAGATCAACAGACTAACATCCACCATGAATCACTTGGAGATTTGCACACCAAAAAGCCCTCATCGCTCCGGAAAATTGCCTACGCTAAACTCTAGCAGTGATAGAAAAAGAGCAGGATTTGTTCCTTGTCGTCAAGACTCGTCTAAAATACGTGGAATTGCACCATCCGAACGCTTTGTAAAGGTTGTGAGGAAGGAAAGCTTGCCTCAACTTTCTGACGTACGCAAACCTGATTCAACGTACATTTCCTTGATCAGCGGATTAACACAGGAAACACAAAAGCAGACGCATGCGCAATTTGGTGGACACCACATAGATGGAGAGGGAAAGAATCATGAACTAAAGAAGGCGAAAAACTGTAAAAATCTAAATTGCATTCAAATGAACATGTTTACTCAACGAAAGCTTTTCTGCTCTTCCCCCAACGCTCATCGTCAACTGTCGAGCAGTTGCGAGTACATTAAACAGATTGGCCGGTAGATAAGGATGCTAGCTAGTTCATAACTGATACATGGTGGTATACAGATAATGTTACCTGCCACTCGTGCACAAGGGAAGCGTGAAACAAGAGGACAATAACACGGGGAAAGGTGTGGTGTAGATAATAATGTGTTCGTTAAACCAATGGTCTCTTTAATTTTGCGCGAGCTCCTAACGCGATAACGATGATCTGTTAAAAAAAAAAAAAACTAGTCGTTCGTGACTGCAGCGCTATTAGACTAAGTTGAGTCAACCCAAAACCTTAGGAAATTGAAGGAGCCATTTTCAAGCAGTGAAAACTTTCTGCCCATAAGAAGTTCATCCAGCATCTGTTAGTGATCAACCTCAAATCACAGAGGTGACTAAGTCGGGATTGATTTTGACATGCAACATTAATTTTCTCTGAATTATTTGTAAATTAATTAGAATTCAATAAATCAAAAGGAAAAAAAGTTTTAAAGGAAAATTTCGTTTTCTACATGTATTGAAAGAAAAGTTATTTGAGTTAAATTATTTCTTTGAAAACAGCACAAGAAAATGTTTTATTTGACTTGAAAAGAGAGGCTACGCAGATTTTGAAATAGCGATCTGTTGTGTCTGTCTATTAAAGTTGTAATTGTGAAATGTGTATCCCAGGTAAATTTAACTAGAAGCCAAAAGTTGATTATTTCTTGTACATTATATTAAATTAAAAAATATCAACGATGCAATCTATTATGTAAGTCTGTCAAGTCTACGCGATGAAAATAAATATTATTTATTACGTATGATTTTGTCAGTTCCTTTATTCCTTACTAAATCGTAACCCCCGGTCCCCACCCCCCTCACTTCCCACACCATAGTTTGTACATCTAGTTTTCGGTTATTTCACCCTGATATATTCTAACTGACCAAGAGATTCTTAAGTGAATGATCTGAAAACTTGGGGCGACCACTTTATTAAAATCAATTGAAGGGCAGAACTAAAGTAATAATAATAATAACACCATGACCAAATCCAGTCAATCACATTTCCTTTAGTAAAAGGTATCGATAGTTCGTGACAAGAGAAAATACGGGTCCCGTGAATTCCTCTTTTTCTTAATCGTGAATATGTCTCCAAAAAGACTCAAAGGATACAATAGACCTTCGCGGGTGTCCTCCGCAAAAAAAAAATTAATGCGCCTTTTGAAACATAACCAACATAAACTATATATCAACAGAAAGATTATGAAATGCATTATTAGCCAGAAATTATTTCGTTTTCGCTTGAACTAATCGTAAACCGAATGGGGCGGGACAGTTCGAAATGGACGATATTTTTTTGAGCGAATTAATCGCATATCAAATCTGACCGTATTAAAAAACCTTTTGCACAATTTCAATCCTGAGGAGTTGGTCTTCAAAACCGTACGGGGAATTTTCGAAATCTTACTCACTCTGGTTGCCTTGCAACTTATCTGTCAAAGTTAATGATCAAAATTCTACCAATACGCATTACGTCGGGGGCCATTGCGGGAGATCCATTTTGTTTACATGCTGCGGTATCGTATAAAAGAAATGTTTTAATTTATTGAAGTTACTCTCATCATGTTTTACTTCAATAGAATACTAGCTGCTGAATATCAAGAAAGAAATACAACTGAACTTAAATATTACACATTCCTCAAAGTAAGTATAGAGCAAAATGTTAATAATAAATTGGAAAATTTTAATAATTTAATAAATTCGTCATACAAACCCAAGTTCATGCAGGTTTTGTTCAGTGCAGCCTCTCTGTCTACGTAGCCATTGAATGTACACAATATATGCAGGGTTTGCGGTACCATAATACACTTAAATCTTTTTGTTCCTCACACCCGCTTAAAATGGTTTGCTATTGATATCGGAGTTAATTATATTGCATTTGTTGTTTAGTAACACTGATGTAAAGATTTGAGTCAAACCTTTCAGCAACTTTTTGGTTGTACTGTTAAGAGACTAGTTGAAATGAAAGGCAGTAATTTTGGTGGTAAGTTTTCTGACACTTAACCTCTTACAGAGGTCTTACATTTGATGTTGTATTCAGCCACTTACGTCAGATTATTTAAAAACAACTCTGCTTACGTCGCCAGTTCAAAAACTCAGCGGGAGGTAAGACGTGAAATAAAGGGAATCAGCTTCTAAAAGGATAATGTCATAACAGTCTGATGGGATTATATTGCTTAGAACTTTCTATTATGTTAGTCAAGTGAAACGCTGGCAATACTAGGCGACTTAAACTTATTGTGATGGAAGGATTTTTTAGGTTGCTTCTGGCAACCGTACAAAACCAAAACTCTCTCATAGTTGTTAATCCAGATACATAAACAGTAACCAAGCCGACTGACGGCGAAAAAACTACGGCGATGGAAAATCAGTAAAGCCTGTCCTGAAATCGTCGTTTCTTTATGATTTTTCTCTGCGTTAACAGAGAGGTTTGTTTACTGCCTTGTTTGTTTTTTGTAGGCTGTCCTATTCTCAGATATAACTGAATAACTACGCGATACAAACTGATCAGACAGAAATCGACACTAACTGTAGGATACTCGCATTATTGTATAATTCATAGGTGGCTGACATAGCACTTCACCTGTATGAAAATAAATAACATTGAGTCCGACAGTTTACCTATCTAATGATACTAATGAATATAAATCGGTGTCTACAGTTAATAACCTGTCTCTGACCTGGTGGCCAGAAAATAAGCGATAATCAATTGCTAAATGGTTAATCTTTGATCACACTTTTAAAAGTTAATTTTACATCCAATTTGTTAGCATGGGTTTTATGGAAAATCTTTGTTCCATCTTTGCTTGGATATTCTAAATAATTAATGATAAGATTTTCCACGGTATTTTTGCTGTTTAAGTTTATTTTTCAAACGACTTTTTGACAATATGACATAGCAAGTTAGACGTAGCAATAGTAGCTTTCGTTAATTATTGACTGATTGTCTGAAAGGAAATTCATTTGGACTTTAGTCGTCAAAATCTTTATCTCCAAACGAAGAAAAGATATTCAGGATTTCTTTTTGGTTCAAATAGCTAGTGAGCTGCTGGATAAGGACTGCTGAATACTGATGCTAGAATGAACAACTTCTTAACTTCGCTTGGAGTTTGAATGAACACTGGGGAATGAAAGCTAACAAGAATGGCAAAGTGTTTTAATCCAGGGCTTCCGAGGATCGTGGAAGAAACGGAATCATATGGCGGCCAGGTAACGGCATCCAAACCAACAGTTCCAACAGTCCAAAAGGTGTCCTGGACAGAGAGCAGTATTTCTCAAGAGTGGCTGAAGCGAATGAGCCTCGTTAAAACATCTGTATTTGCCATTAAACCCGGAATAAATCAAATCAAGATTAACACAAAAGACATGCAAATCTCTACAACGCAATACACAAGCAGACAGTTCAAAAGTGGTCGTAAAAGTCAAAGCCTTGATGGTCTCAGGAGGCAATCTGCTTTAACAGAGTTAAAAGAAAGAGCTAAAATTTCAAGCTTAAATCGACCTTCATCAGTGAAGTCCCTAAATATTGAAGATACCAACAGGCGGAAACCTGATTCAACGTATATCTGTTTGTTAAATGGAATAACATAACCAAGGATTACAGTAGGCACACGAAATTGCACGGAAGGTAATACACAGTGATGAGTATCTGTTGTACACTTGAGCAAGGATTGGATGAAACGGAAATTGATATAAATGGTGTTAATCGTGCTTAGCTTTGATTGATATTGAACGAAATGGCGACTCAGAAATATGTCCAGCAACTAACAGCATTCGCGGCCTTGTGAGAGACAGAAGCTTCTGGATGTAATGCTTGATTGCATTCAAACAATTAAATTAATTATTCACCTAAACAGATCGTGAATAAGTAAATGAAGACATTGTCCTAAAGTAAATTTGTCAAATTCCTGGAAATACAACCATTGAATGGCGTTTGTCTGCTGTTTTGACTGTAGGTTAACGTACAAATCACTGAAGTACGATAACTGTGGACCTGTCAAGTTGATCCATTGTTATGACTAAACTTTTTTGACATATCTGTTACTGATTGGATCCCCACCCTTCCCCTCCTGGTTGCATCCTTAACTTTTACGTCAGTTCTAAATCAAATGATGAAACTCAAGTCTGTTATAGACCACCAAAATCTTTCACAGATTCAATAAATTGGAAGCGCATCAAAGCTCCCAGGGTTCATATCAGGAAAGGAAGACCTACAGAGTTCTTTCTGTCTTCTTTCATAAGTCTTCGATGACGGAATGCTTTGTGTAGTTGCGTCAAGAGATATGTTTGCCCTCATGAACTAAAATCTCCTTGTTTCAATTCTCTTTACAGCACAGTGATTTTTAATCGGGAAAATTAAATCTCTTGACTCCAAATATCTGGTTGGAAATTCTCTCAACTGATCCACAGTTTCGTGTATTCGGCTTCGTTAGAATTTTCATTAGTGTGGTGTTATATTATATAACTTCTAGCTGGTTAAGGTTTAATATTGTACTGATTTGTTCACATGTTCACATCTACAATAGTAAGAGATTGTAATTTTTGATAATAGTTGATGGTATAATACAAACATTTCGTTCTAGTACCAGCGCCGGCTGCTGGTTTCACCGAGGATTTCAAGTTAAAAATATCCATCATATGCAGACGGTTATTCGTCGATAAAAAACTTAGAAGGCAGTAGAGTGCTCAGTCCTTTCGATTATTGTTTTTTTTTTCCTTTTTCTTTTATTATGCAAACAGTGGTGGACACAAGAAAGGGAAATCATTAATACGTCACAGGAGAGGATCAGCTTCACATGAACACACAAACATCACTAATTTGTCCAATCAAATGGCGCGTTTTAACTATAGGCACACACGACATACAATAACATTATATTTTCCATATTTTCCAGTTAGAGTAGTCATTAACCAACCACGCATGCGTTTTTTCATTTGTTTTGTGGATTATTGATTGTAAAAACTAACAACCTTCATATGCGTTACTTATCGATAAACTTAGAAAGCTGAAGAGTACTCAGTCATTTTGATTGTTTTTTTTCCCTTTTCCTTATGTGATTCAAACAGAGCTGGGCAAGAGAAAGGGAAATATTTAGCACATATGATCAGAACCATGGTGTGTTTAAAAACAAGATCAAAATTTGACTTCAATCTCAGTTTTTAGTGGTTGGGTATCACAATTCTGAACTGGAATTGATATTTCTACATAACACAAAATAAGCTCCATTGTGTTGACCGACACAAGGTTGTACCAATATTGAAATCAATGCTTCTTAATTACTTTCTTGACGTTTCATGATGACTCTGCTATATACGAGCCAACAAATTACTTATATTGCCATCCTTAAGACAGGAAAAATGCGTAACTCTTCTGTCAACGAAGTGAAAGTATTGGCCTCTCACTTTGAAAACCACAGTGTTTGCTTCCTATTGTTCGTATCAGTGAGCGGGCACGCGACATGGTTAAGGCGTAGATAAGGTTAAGCCTTTGTTTAGTTTTACCGCGTCGTAAATAATCTCTTGTTTAGTCAAACTTTTTATCTAACTTTTGTGTTCAGTGTCTAGGACACTTACAACTAACATTGCAATAATGCTTATTACAAAACCGCTTTTATTAAGAAATCTGAAAGTCTATTGAAATCCTAAAAAGGCGGTCCAATTTAGGATAACCGGCTCTTAAAGTCTACTTCAATTACCCAACAAACAAATAAGTTAACCTTTGGTACTTTCATCGATACCCTTAGTTGGCATTACACTACATCTTTAAAGTTATTTATTTTTGTTTCATTTCTCCATTTTCCTTCTTTTTTCCTCAGTTTTTGTTATGATTAAGCCTCTACGTAAAGCGGCGATAAAGGCGAATATTGGAGGTAAATTAACAGTCAGACAAAAGAACCTATGACATGCAGAAACAGTCATGAATTTTAAATGACAGCACTAACCATCGTTTAATCATCAATGAGTGGAACTGCCGCCATCTTTATTTAGGTTATATGAAAATCATCGTAGATGCAATTCTTTAACATGGACAACTAACATTGGAATTGTCACAATAACCTATCTGGGATTTCGTCTGTCATTCGTAACAAAGCTAAGCTCTTAAGTCTTGTACATATGGTGACATTTATTTGAATTAAAAAATCACGATTGCATGACGTGCGATTGAACGCCTCAGGGGGTAACTAGAAGACAGGCAGAACTTAACGATCGCTATTAATTCTAATTTATTTTTTCTTTTGTTATGATATCGTAAGTACATTCAAAAAATTCAGAAATTTAAAAATAAATCACTGACGCGTCAAAAGGATTCCACTGCAAAGTCGTACAACAAACCTTGTTTAAAACATTGATCAACACTAATAACAAATCTGATGCCTCAAACTCTATTCAGGACGTGTTGAGTTTTAACAACAAATCGAAAGTTGCTCTGGTTCGACTGGTTTTCATCTGAGTGGTAAGTGGACCGATCTTTATCGTGTTTTGATAGATTGATCTCCACGATCATCATTTAGGTTGTCTGTTTCTAAGTATATTTTGAAGAAATCGTTTCGTTCATCGTTTCAACTCTTTCGCTAACGTTTTCGAAAAAAAAAACTGTTCTGCTGATCTAAGTACGGATACATTAACCTCCTTGAAACTTAGGCACAGTATAGAGTGTCACTTGAATGAAAAACTTGAATAGATTCTGTCTGTGTATTTAATGTCTTCGAAAATGATTGAAAGATGGGGTCATCTGTTTTTCAAACATGCAAGTTTGTTTATTTTAGTCAAATGAATAATTATTCATTCAGTCGAGTGTTTCACGAGCACGGTTTATAATGCTCTACCACTGACGAATAACTCCTTAACTCTGGGGATGACTTCCGCTCAGGCTGTTAGTCATTATTCCAAGGGCAACAATCCTTTTCAGAACTACGCTTTCACTGAGGAAATCACTACACTATCAACTTTTTGACTCTCCGGTCGCGGTTAGAACCGCAGCATAGTTATCTAAACTAGATGTGTTGACAGCATGAAACGGTGTTCAGAAAATCTCGGAATCTGCATTTATTTTGGGGAAAGTAACTAATTCTGCTCCGCAATAAGACGGTCCAGTGTAGATTCATATTTCAAGGGATGATAACAAAAAGCCACTGGATCTTAATCACTTTCGAATATTAGCTAGCGCTCGCTAGAAATGGCACTCGGTACCGGTTTGAACGATCATCCGTTTTCCTGAACTTCCAGTAAACATTCTTATTTGAACATATTAATCACACATCTCTTTCACATTCCATAATCTAGTGAAAACCTAGAAAACTGACTTTTTAAGCCCTTTGTTCGGCGTTTTCAAAGGGAAAAATGCTTCAGAATTTAATATGTTATTACGACAAAAAAATTTGCAATCATTAATACGTCACTGGAGCAGCTAAGCTTTCACATGAACATACAAACATCACTGGTTTGTCCAATCAAATGGTGCGTGATAATTTACAGACACACACGACTTACAGTAAAATTATATTTTTCAGTTAGAGTAGTCGTTTTAACCAACCACGCATGCGTGTCTATCTTTGTTTTGCAGGTTGTTGATTGTGAAAACTAATAGCATTCAGGTAAATAAGGAGTAGAAAAGGAGCCGGAACAAGATAAGGCACCAAAGACTTGTCCTTATGGAAAGGCTATCTCCTATAGTTCAAGTGGTCCAAAATGATCATTGCCAAATACGACCTGGTTCAACAGGGTTTATCTCCCTAGCAACAAAACCGCGTATGCCAAAAGTTCAAAAGTTGCGCTGGGAAAAAGACAAACGTTCCATGGAATGGTTGAAGAGAATTAGACAGATCAATTCAACGTTGGCTCTTGACTCCCAGCCAGAGATAGTCCTGGACCAAGAGTTCTTTCATAACCCCAAATTAACCAACGAAACGTTAAGGACAGAAAGCAGAAGTGATACAACCGATGGAATTTTTCATAGCGAGCCGTTTCTCTATGATCCAGAAATTGCGGATAATTCTCAGGGTCGAAAACCAGACTCGGCCTATATAAGTCAAATTAGCAAGTCTATCTGCATGTCGGCCAATCCTAAAGGAAATTGCGACGACTTTGATGGTAACCTTACTTCTGTCATGGGGTACTCTTCAAAATACGATCAAGTTCCCGAAAAAAACTCGTCGCCACCGGGCGGTTTATTTGAATCAAAAGACAACCAAAAAGCCAAACGAAAAACCAGTTTTGAGTACATACAAGGAGTTAGCATGCTTCAATACGGACACAATTCAGAGGAATTTCGCAGATGAAAGTCGCTCTTCGATGCATAATTACAAGTGTTACATAAAATCTCGAATTCTCAACCAGCATGTATGTCAAGCTTCCAAGCAAAAGCTTCAATCCAGAGAGTGGAGAGACGCATATGAAGCGTTACGGTATGTTTTCCTCTCAATGAACAAAAGCCGATTTATATCAAGAAGAACATTTTTTATCGCAGGCTACCAAGAGTGTCCTAAGGCTTGGGCCGCCTTCATTTCTTACTTATGAGGTAACCTGAGTTGCCTGGACACGAGAAAGGAGGATGCAAATGTTGAGACTAGGATAAAGTATTCACTGAAAATCGCGTGCCACTTGCAAAAAAATAGGAAAGGACCCATATCGCTTGCCTACTTTAAGTCACAATCAGAGGGGTGGATATTGCGACATTTTTATGTTGAACCACGGACAAGAGGTATTTCATTTTCAAAGAGAAAGTTAGCGAGATCTTTGGAGATATGTCAATTATGAGACTTAGAGCGCTATCGGACTTTGGCGGTCATGCCTGCGAACTTCTATAGATATCAAAACATTTCCTTATGGTTTCCATTCGAGGAGTTTTCTCGATTGTTTTGATCGTACGATTCAGATGAAACATCAAGTATGCGCGTGCATTCTGTTACAATTTTATCAGCTCTATTGATTGTATTGTTTTCGTTTTCAAGAGTATTAAAAAATGACAACACAGGAATGTTCGCGTGTCTTTTTTAATTCATCACAGCAACCACGTTTTTTTTCTTCAGAGGGTGTTTCAATATGAAAAGTTTATATCAAAATTAGGTCAGGTTTATCCCATATGACCCACAATCGAATACGTGTTGATAGGAGTTCCTCATAAACAGGTTACTCAGAGAAGAAAACAGAACGTACTCTGTATAAGCACATCATCTTCATGCAGTTCTTAAACGTGACATGGGAAAGCAAACTAAACTGAGAAATAAATGCGGTGATAATATCCAGACCGGAAATGCTACGGAATGCTGTTGACTAGAACAAAGATAATGTATGCATAAGTGATTATCAGCACAATAACATACGTCAACCCCCAAACTGACGTAACTAAACAGAGGGAGCGTCATCTACTCATGACTCGTGTCTGAAATATCCCACCTGAGCCTTTGTAGAGTTCAGCGAGCATTTTTTAAGGGTTCTTAACGGAACTTTCGTGTTGCCCTGACAATTTTGAGTGCGAAATCTCGACCTTCTTTACCATCACGAGCAACTGAAGCCAGCAGTGACTGATCAGGTAAGATATTTTCTTGCTTCATAGCCATGAGCAATTGACGTGCTCAATATCGTGATTGTACGATTCGTGTAATTGTGTCAGTTTCCTTTATAAAAAAAGAAAACTAACCATTTCGACTGAGTCACAAATTCTCGTTTGTTAAGGGTGTCGTGAGCGGTTGCAGCAAAGGATGTTCGTCGTGAAATCGTGTCGTTGATGATAGCAACATTTGATTGATCACAGTTGACTAGAAATCAATTTAACGATTTTAAAGATCCTTGCTTTTACCAATATATTGTGATTATAGGGAAATAAAAGCTTGTTCTATCAGAAATGCTTGACATTAAAATATACCCGAGGACTACTGTATTTTCCCCAGCTGCAATTTTTATGTAAAAAGTAATCAATCATTTTGCGTGACATAAATTCATTACCCAAAGCTATAACAGAAGTCAACAACAACAACAACGTCAAGCATGAATGGACATACGCCTTGAGAGTGGATTAACTTTCAACTTTATTTCACGTTTCCAAACCTAAGCTATAAAAGATCATAATTACAACGCAGCAAGCTGACAGACTGCTAGCAAAACAAATAAGATCTTTCGCTTATCTCTTTTAAAGTCGATGCATAATTTAGATAGAACTACCTGCCTCCATATGGTATACTGAGTAGTGCAAATAGAAATTAACTAAGCCAACGACCTCGCAAAATTTTTAAACATTGAATTAATTTTTCAAATGAAATTTTCATTTGTTTAAGCGCCAATCGCCACTTCGGGCGATGACCTCTGAATATCTAGCATCGCGTTCTTAAATTATGTCTTATATGAAATATTTATCACGGCAGGTAGATTTGGATGAATCAACAGAATATATTGTGTAAGGGCATTAGTTGTGCATGTAATTTGGCTTTATCGCTGACATAATTCTAACTATGCTAGCTCTTGCGCAAGCTGCCTCACCAGGCTTTTTTAAATGCAGGATACTTCGCCCCTTTTTAGTTTGTTAGGAAACTTGTGTTAAAAAAAAATAAAGATTTAAAGGAATAATAAACAAATTCAGAGAGATTGACAATGTTGGCAACAGGTTAAAGTCGACGGCTGAGAGCTCTTTCCTCACAAGTGAATTAAAAATAAATAAATATTTTGTTATTTTTTGTTACGGGAAAATTCATTGATTTTCCCGTGTGTGTTATTCGAAACATATTTATTCGTAAACTTTCACATTTAACCATTTCAAGTCCTTTCATTTTAATAACTCAAAAAATGTATAAAAACCACAGTAGCTTTTAGAATAGATTTTTGTTGTTACTCGCTTTCATCATATGCACCTGCTTGTCGGCACTTTTGTTGTTTATTACATGGTTTTTTTAGGTAAATATAAGTGTTAATGGTCTTTCTGGAAACATTGGTTTTCATGGTAGATAGCAGCTGAGTTTAAACACCTAAATCTAATTTCTTTTCATGCAATAGTTTCCAAACCAATCTTGCGTAAATAAGCAGAAACTTTAATTGCTTTTCCGTTT